AAAGATTTATTGGCCCAATACTGATGGCCAATGATTAACCAGCCATATCAGCTCATCCAATTGCTGATATGTAGTCTGGCAGCATGGAGAGCAGCATCCGGCTAGTAAGTCTGTTGGTGGGGAGGGGCATGGTGGAAGCAGATGGAGGAGGGAGTGGGGAGGGACAGATGCTGCCCTGCCGGGGTGGAGCGTGGGATGGTCTGTGGCTCATCCGGGGGATGGGGAGGAGGTTCCCACTGCTGCGTACACCCCTGGGGAGGCACAGGGGGCATGTGCCCCCCCCCCAATTTGTGTGTGGGGCAAGGGTGCGCTCCACACTTGGGTCTGGAGCTGCTGCAGCCTCTTCCTGGAGGCGGCACTCAGGCTGGGTGGGGTAGGGTGAATAGTGATTGTGCTGGGAGGGGGGGCTATGGTGAATTTTGGGGTGTTTCTAGCCCCCCCCATAACCCCTCCTTCCAGAGCTGCCATGACCTGCCCCTCCTTGCCCAAGTGCAGCTGCCAGGAAGAGGCTGGAGCAGCCCCTAGCCCCAGCCCACAGTGGCAGTCCTTCCTTGCCCTGCACACAGGTCGGGGGGGGGCAGATGCCCCCCATGCCTTCCCCAGGGGCGCATGGCAAGAGCCACCCCCCTGAATGAGCCACTGGTTCCATCCCATGCCCTTCCCCAGCTGGGCTGCCCCTACCACAGCCTCAGCCCCAGCCCCACTCCCACTCCCTCCCTAACCACGGGGGCCTCAATCTACCACATACGTATTCCCCCCAAGAGACTTACCAGCCAGATTCTGCTTTCCAAGCTGTCAGGCTGCATTCCTGGCCATGTGGATGCTGCAGCTGCACACAAACATGTGGCATTTATCAGCAACATTATTGGCTGCATCTTCCAGATAGAGCCGATTGCCAATAATGTCAATTTTCCTTTTATTGGTGCCGATATGATATGGACTGTTGTATCGGTGCACCTCTACATTCAAGGGTAGGTTAGTGCAGCCCACCTGAATGAGACGTATGGTAGTGTCCATTAAGCACAGTCCCCCTCACTGCCAACTCTCTTCCAAGTCATGGTGAGCCACGATGGTTCACCAGGAATCCCTCTGTCAGCCTCTCTCTCAACTTGGTGCATACGATTAGGTGAAAGTGAAGCTGGACCAGGTTGCCCTGCACCACTTCTGCATATAAATTTTTGCAACATCCCAGGACTTGACAAGATCACTCTGTTGCAGTCATGAGTGGAGACTAATTAGCACATAGATCCTTTGTGGGGGGTATCTGGAGTACACATGCATAGTGAGCACTCCTGAGATATGGGGTCATAGTGGCTTGAAATAGTTTTGACTGTGGGGGGACCCAGCCCAAAGAATTATGTGGTAAATGCCAAGCCTTTGGCTTTGGACTAATATCATGCATAGTTTGTACTCTATATAAGTAGGTGCCAAAGTGCTGCTCAAAAGTGTGTTTATGGAGTACCTCTGCTAAAAATTGCAGCAGTTTAAAAAAAAGATAATGTGCATCAATTCTGGATAAAATAAATGCATGGGTATTATATGCAAATTGCTACAGCCATGTTTAATTTCAAGCCTATTGTTTCCAGATTTGCTCCTTAGTTCCATTTGTTCTGGGAGAGTAGGATTTGACAGTAAAGAGAGAGGGAAGGGGCTGTCAGGGGAAGAAGTTGGGGGGAGGCAGAGAGTAAAGGGCTAACCAATCTATTTTCCCTGCTGTGGCAGGGGGGACAAATTCAAGGCAAACCTCCAATAATTGTAACAAAATCATAAATTTACCATATATAGACTCTAATTACTGGGGGGTTGTCTTATAATTAGGGTAGTCTTCTATTCAAGTAAATATGGTAATATGCTCCAATTATTTGTATTGTAGTGCTTAGCAAGATCTTTTTGTGGTCACCACTTCTAAAATTACAGAGTAAAAGAAGGTAATATAAGCTCAATTATTCCAGGGCAGTAAGAGATTATTGCAAAGAAAAGTTGGGAGGGAAAGGCAGGAAAAGGAAGTGAGCATTAGGGCATGCAGTTACTCTCTAGTGTGCTGTTACACACCTCCATTTGAATGGTACCACTTTTTAAAATAAAAAATAGGCATATAGGTAGGGTGACCATTTGTTCCAGTTTGGCCAGGACACTCCAGGATTCCATAGCCCAGTTCTGGCCAGTTGGTCAGAAGTCCTGAGCTGGAGTCTGGTGGGGAGATGAAGTGGCATGGTGCACCAGGCAGGTGACTGGGCAGGTACCACTGCTTCTGTGTGGGAGCAAAGACATATCATGTGCCGGTGGGGTGGTGCCTGTTCCAGCCTTACTGGTGCACCATGCTGCTCCGCCTCCTCGCCAGACTTCAGTCAAGGTCTTTTGACCAATCGGCCAGGACCAGGCTACAGAATCCTGGAGTGTCCCACTCAAACTGGGGTGTATGGTCAGCTTACGTGTAGGTTATGTACCTACTTATAAGTTATACGTAGGTGTACAACCAAACTTTAATCTATTTGCTGATTTTTCTCATTAATGTCATGCTCTGGCTGGGCTCTGCAAGCTCTGCCCAGCAGTAGGTGCCGCCAAGCACTCTTCCTTCTATCTGGGAAAGCCCCTGTTTGGCCTGCTGCATGGCCCCTTGGCCATGTGCTGGGAAGACCCCGTCCGCATGGCCATGTGCTAAGCCCCGCCCCTGTGGGGAACCCGGTGGACCAGTCGAAAGGGCTTAAATCTGGGCTTGTCATCAGGCCTATAAAGCTGGGGTGGAGTTCTCCCCCTGGGAGGAAGAACAGAAAGAACAGCAGAGTAGCGTGCAGCATCCATCGCCCGCTCAGCTAGCCGAGAAGCTGGAGTTTCCATCGCTCGCTGGGAAGGTCTGGCCAACTTCCCACGGCTTCTCCTGTCTCCGGAGAACAATTTGCCGATCGGTTTTCTTTTGGTTCTCGAGGTGTCCACTGCTTTATTGTTTTCCCGAGAACCGTCAAGTTTTTTCGCGCATTCGTTCCAGCAAACGGGACGGATGCTTGATCGTTTCCCCAGCCTCACCCGAACGTGGATCCAACAAGGTTGTTATTTTCTTCCTTTCGTCTCTTGCCTGGATTGGGACGGAATCCGCCCTGCAGCCACGTTTACACCAGTGGTGTACAAGTAAGAAACGATGTCTGTCATCAGTTCAGGATTGAGTGTCGTGTGTAACCAAGTGTAACTGCCTGCGCAGCCACATCTATATCAGTGGAGAGCATGTAAAAAGGGACTAAATAAAAGAAAGTACTTTTGCAACCGTTACGAGTCCACCTCTCCCTCTTGCTAAACTAACATCAGGGGATCAGAACCCCAGGGCTATAGCCACAGCCTGGCTCGTGCCCCGCACAATTAAATATCACAGAAGTGATGCAATTAAGACCTGGTAATATTAATTTAGAAGACAAGTAAAATTCACTGAGGGGTTCATACTAGAATGGCTTATATACCATGTTAGGAATATATTCTTATTGGGGCTCTTGTACGCGTGATGGGGGTTTAGTCCCCTAAATTAAATGGTGAGTTTTTAATTGTGATGATCAAAACTCCCCCATTTCAATTTAGAGCAGTGGTCACCATGGTCTCAGAGCCTCTTGTGGTAGATTTCGGAGTCTCTTGGAGTTGATCCGAGGCTGGGGAGGGGGACTGAGTGCCCGCATGCGTGCATGCATGCATGTGCCCCAGCCCATCAGGTCAGTCCATGGAGGAGGTAAAGGGTGGGGGTTAGATCAAGGTCCCCATGGTGAGGGACAGTGCCACAGAGGCAGGAGCAGGGGTAAATTGAATGGGGCCCTGGCTGGGTGGAACTTACCTGCTGGGGATGTGCATCCCCACATAATTTTTTCTCCCTCTGCCTCGATGTGCCCACCCCTTCCCTCCCCATAGACTTACCTGCTGGGTAGGGGGGAGGGGAGTGGTGGTAGTGCATGGTAAATCTTGGGTTGCTTTTAAATGCCAAAGGAGATCTCCTACTGAAAAAGGTTGGAGAGCACTGATTTAGAGGCTTCCATCACTGTTACGGTGAGGGGCCCAATCTTTTTTTCTGGTGGAGTCTTCCTGCATTTCTTGTGGCTGGTGTGCAAGCTGCTGGACGGCCGAGCAGGTGGGCAGGTAGGAGACAGTTTCTGCCCCAGCTTGGGCTTGGGGAACAGTTGAATTAGGCTGGGTGATGCCTCCAAGCTAGGCCAGCACTTGCCAGCTAGCTGCCTGCCCAGGTGGCCCCAGAGGGCACTACCACTGTGGAGGGAAGGACCCAGGCCCTCCTGCATCTCAGGGTCTGCCAGCAGATCACTCCCTGGCTGCGGGAGAGGCAGGCAGGCTCCACGGGGGGAAAAAAAGGATTGGGCCCCTCGCTGCTTTTTTGGGTTTTCTTTTCCTGACGGAGCCTGCCTCCACAAGCTGCCAGTGGGCTGAGTACCCCAAGTCCAAGCTGGGGCAGCACCTGCCCGTTAGCAGCCTACCTGAATGGCCCCAGGGGGTGGCACCATCACAGGGGAAATGACTGGAGCCCCCCTCAGCTCAGGGGCTGCTGAGCCTGTTTGCAGTTCACCCCCTGGCAATGGGAGATGCGGGCAGGGTCCAGGGGAAGAAAAAAAAGGATTGGGCTTCTCCCTGCTTCTGCCTTTAGCCCACCTCTCCTGTGGGGGGTGGGGGGTGAGCTGTCAAAAGGCTGCAACGTTACAAATAGCTACTTTGCAAACTAAACTCTATGCAGATGTGGTTTAGTTGGCAATGTAGCAAACATTTAAATTGCAAAAAAACCCCTTATATGTGTACAGTGTGAAGCAATTAAACTGCAAAAACGGGCAATTTTCATCATGTGTGCAGGTGCCCAATGTGTTCACTTCCCACTTTTCAAAACTTTGGGTCATCTTTAGCATGTGAATCTTTGAGACGGCATGATAATGGAGCATAATACAGGATGTGTTGATGCTTTTTCCATTTATCTAATTAAGATAATTCATTGCTTATATTTATTTCTTTTGCTTCTTTCCAAACAGGTGTCAAAGAAAGTCAAGTCCATGCAGATGTTCCATACTCCTGTGACTTACGCCATGCAGGGGGACAGGGTAGGCATCTGTGTGACCCAGTTTGATCCCAAGCTGCTAGAACGGGGCCTCATCTGTACCCCAGAATCTCTCCAGACCATACATGCTGCCATTATCTCCCTGAAGAAAATTCAGTATTTTCGAGGTGCGCTGCACACCAAAGCCAAGTTTCATATCACAGTTGGTCACGAAACAGTTATGGGACGAGTAATGTTCTTCAGTCCAGCCCCTGCTGACTTCAACAAAGAGCCCCTGGACAACGCGTTTGATTTTGAAAAAGATTACCTTTATCAAGAAGAATATTTGTCCAAGGATTCAAAGGCTTCTGATGAAAACAAGGATAATGACCAGACAGGAGAGCAGCTCCCGAAGCAACAGTGGGCCTTAGTGGAGTTTGAAAAACCAGTCACTTGTCCTCGACTCTGTCTTGTAATTGGGTCAAAACTGGATACTGATATTCATGCAAACACCTGCAGGCTGGCATTCCATGGGGTACTGCTTCAAGGCCTAGAAGATAAAAACTATACAGAGACTTTCCTTCCAAAGCTGAAAGTGTACAAACTGAAGCACAAAGAAGGTCAAGTGGAAAGGGTAAGCTCTATTTCTTACCACTTTAGTGGCAAAAAGAAACTTCTCTTTGTGATTCTTGCTTTAGGTCACAACAATGCTGAAGAATTTGCACCTAAATTGTGCTCCTTTCTGATTTCCATTTAAAAAATGCTTTTGGCCTTTAAAAGCTTGAATGTAGTGATGTGATGTTTCCCACCTGAGTTTGTAGACAGTTGGACAGCTTTCATTTGAGATGTGTGAACAGGCTCATTAGTCGCAGTGGGAGGTTTAGTTAGATATGTAACTGTATTAACAATTTCACCACAGAGTGTTTTAACATCTAGTTAATATATTTCTTCTACAAGCTCAAACTACTCCTCATATGTTCCCCAGTGCCCTGGCTGTCTTCTGCTGGGCTGACCAAAACTCTGGTTTCCTTCTGGCTTGTATACTATAGCTATTCTGTAGTTTCAGTGCAAAGTTCTGGAGCAGTTTACAAATGGAATAAATAAAGGCAGTGAGACTATTGGGCATTAATTACAGGTCACGCACATGACGTGTTAAAGCACTTCAGAGTACATATAAAACCAGTCCATCTTGGAAGACCATATGGTGTCTTCTGCAGGAGCAATGATACGCTCTGGCTAGATTTAGGCGTGGGTAATTAGCTTCTGCCTATTTTTACTGTCCCTTCAGCAGTGTCTGTTTTGTTATATTTCTGCTATTTCTTTACTTATCTCTTACTGTCCTATCTCACTGGTGGCTGCATTTCCATAATGGGTGGACATTCATTTGGATATACATAGTACACTTTGGAGTTTTTCATAATGAAAAATATTTCAGAAAAGTAATTATATATATTTTAATTTGTTAAATGAGAACAGTGCTGATGTAAATTATTAATGCATGCATGCAGAGTACTGGAAAACATGTAAAAGTGATATATAATTGTTCAGCATTATTATATTATTAATTTATACTCCAGTAAAGAGTTATTAATTTTTGTTCTAATCCTCAAAGCTGATCATTCCAACAAAATCTGCAACAGTTTTGCTTCACTTCTCTCAATAACTTGGTAGTATTGGGGGGTGTTGAACATGAATACATTTCCTTATTTTTGTATAAAGAACTAAATGCTTTTCAAAATACAGAGTCAAAGTACATTTTGTGGTGCAAATTTCTTTACAGTTTATTGTTTGAAGATTTCAGAGTAAACAAGCAGTGGGTCTGGCAGGCATAAGTATGAATTTGTGAGGTTCTTTTCTAAAGTGCTGACTGTCAATTACATCTAAAAAAGTAACAAACGTTCCTAATCTGTACCTGCCCTTCCTCTTTCTCTGTACTGTATCCAGTACTTCTCTTTATCTTGTAGAGTTTGTTCCTCTTGCTTTCCAAGTGCATGTCTTCACTGCTGCATCTGGAGGGCCAAACCAGTGCCTGTAGGTGATTCAGGGGTGTAGGTTGTAGCCATGTTGGTCTAAGGACATAAGCAGACAAGGTTCTTTGGGTGAAGCTGATATCTTTTATTAAACCAACTTAAATGGTTGGAAAACAATTTTTAAGCAAGTTTTTGGGTTCAAAAACTCTTTGTCAGGCTGAGGAAGTTTCAGCAGTTGGTGTGTGCTCTTCCTGGATGGAATGAAGAATAAAGAAGCCAGAGGCTGGGCTGGTCTGCATGCAGTCAGTCAGTCAGGGCAGTCAGTGAAGATGGAGATTGAGTCAATGGGTGAGAGACAGGCTGGGCGGGGGGAGAGAAGGGGAATGAATAGTGAAGTGGTACCTGGGGAGTCAGATGTCAGGCAGGTTATAATGTGTCATAAATCCAATGTCTATATTTAGTCCATGATTTTTAGCATCCAGCAGGTTGATGAAGTGGAGTTCGTAGGCTCGTCTTTAGGAAGTATTGGGTAAGTTTCCTTTGAGGATCAGGACTGAGAGACTGGGGGGAGAGTGGTTTTCTTCTGAGAAATGTGCCCCTACAGGTAATTGGGTATTCCTGTCTCTGATAGATTTCCAGTGTGCATTCATTCTGGTGCACCATTGTTGTTTGGTCTCTCCTATGTATGTTCCATCAGGGCATTTGGTGCATTGGATGAGAGATATCACATTTCTGGAGGTGCAGCTGTAAGATCCGGGAATGCTGACGGCTCTGTTGTGGGGTGTAGCAATTGTGGGGGTGGTGGAGATGTGTTGGCAGGTTTTGTATTTCTTGTCATGGCATGCTGCGGATCCATTTGGTGTGCTCTGGGCTTGAGGAATTTTGCTTCTGGTGATGAGGTTAGCGAGGTTCGGTGCTTGTTTGAAGGCTAGGATGGGTGGCTCTGGGAAGATCTCTTTAAGAGTAGGGTCTCTTTCTAGTATGGGTTGCAACTGTTTGAAGATTTTCTGTACAGGTTTGAGGGAGGAGTGATATGTTATAACCAGCGGTGTGCAATTTGTGGGGGTGTTTCTTCTGTACTGCAGCAGTTCTTCACATGGTATCCAAGTTGATCTTTCAAATGTGCAATCTGTCTCTCTGAAGGAGTGTCCTTGTTGGGTGAAAGCCTTTTTAAGATTGGTGAGGTGGTAATCCCAGGTGTTCTCTTCAGTGCAAATTCAGTGGCATCTGAGGGCTTGGCTGTATATCAGAGCTTTTTTGGTGTGTTTAGGGTGATTGCCAGCTCTGTGCAGATATGTATGTTGATCTGTGGGTTTCTTGTATAATGTGGTCTGTATTTTATCATTCTGGATACTGATCATCATGTCTAAGAAGAAGATGTCGGTGCTGGAGTACTTTAGAGAAAGTCAGATGGAGGGATGGTGATTGCCGAATTTCTGATGGAACTCAATCAGAGATTGCAGGTTTTCAGTCCAAATGATGAAGATGTCATCGGTGTCATCTTAAGTATAGCAGGGGTTTGATGGTGCAGTTCTTGAGGAAGTCTTCTTCCAGGTGGCTCATAAAAAGGTTGGCATATGGTGGGGCCATTTTGGTGCCCATAGCTGTTCCCATCGTCTGGAGGAAGTGTTGGTTATTAAAAGTGAAATTGTTGTGTGTGAGGATGAAGTGGATAAGGTCAGTAATATCTTTGGGTCT